TTACAAGAGGAGAGGATTTCTGATAGGGAGAATGGTGGCATCAATACATCAAAGTCATTGTGGGAAATGGAAACTGGAGAAACTCTTAGATGAGTTGATTTGGTATAACACTGATGATGTTCTAAGAAGATGCTTTAGTGACAGGAGAGGGTGGAAAGCAGAGGAGAGTCTAGAGAGAGAGAGGGTAAAAATGAAAGAAGACTGAGGAGAATGGAGGCAGCGACTCAGACCAGTCTTCATCAAGAAGAGGCTGGGTGCACAGAGCAAATGCAGATGATGATATTTTAAGACAGAGGATACCTGAGCCTGTCTGAAGGTTGAGGGGAAGAATCCATCAGGAACAGAAGAAATTAAAGAAGCTAGAGAGGAAGGACTAACTGGGGAAGCAAATTACCAGAAAAGAAACATCCCTTCTCTGAGATTCTTGGACAAAATGACAATAAGAGGGAGTTCCCTTATAACTTACTGTTTTCAATTACAAGGTTGAAATGTCCTTCATTAAATGCAAGTGAAAAGGTAAAGTATTAGACTGTCGCCAGCCATGAACACTCTAATTTAAACCAGGTTCGACAATCTGTGGGTAATATACTAGTGATTATGTATTTATTAAACATTTATTGTTCACATGCCATAGGCATTGGACATCTGCCAATTCGCTGAAAAGAGAGGCAAAATTACTTCAAAATGTTTATATTAAGTAGAAAACTTTAAGTATTAATCTGACCTTAACATCTTTTAACTTTTAGTTGTTTTCAACCAAGCTAGTCTCAATTTCTGTTTTAATAAAGCAGGTGTGTGCCCAGCTTCATGGGTGAAATATACTGAACACCTACTATGTACAAGTACTGCATTTGGTCAGGTTTAGTTAAGGGTGTTGGAAAAGAGGAGGCGGCCAGGGTGGAGTACTGTGCTCAGACACTCTGTAAAGCCTGCGCTTGTAATGAGTTGCCCAGACTGCCAGCAGATATTTAAAACTTAGAAACCTCAGGCTCTGGAAACAGGTTTTGCAACACAGTATCTACAAAATATTTTATTGTCAATGGAGCACTAGATATAATACTGAAGCAGCATCCCCTTTCCATAGGAAGGGAGATCAAAAGAAGATCCTTCAATCTGCCCTGGCAATATTTTTATTTTGCCAAAGATACAGCAACACAGACCCTTGACAGGTTTTTTTTTTTATTGGCACCTGAGCTTAAACCTGTGGCACATAAGCAAATAATGTCTTCTGCTTAGATGCCTCATCAATTTAAAAAAGTCGGACCAATAATATATTTTTGCCTGAAGACAGTTGGCTGGACTAGAAGCTAATTTAAAGTCCACTGCGACTACAAGAGGTCTATTTTTAGGATGAAACCACTCAAGGGCATAGAAAATAGAATACACTTACTGCTCTATTCAAACAAACCCATTGATGTCTTGAACATGGTTAAGGGACAATTTGCTGTGCCTTTTTTTTTCTTTTTTTGGCAATTTAGGAAGGGTTTCCCTGGTTTCTGTGACCTCCTGATAACTTTTTCTGTTTATCAGTTTAACTATAAGATTACCTGAAGCCAACATTTTCAACTCTTTGTATATATGTCCCTTGGGCATGCATTCCCATGAAGGCAGTGTAAACTGGCTTTTGGGGAGACATTGTTTTAGATAATATACTGGTTTGGGGCCCACCAAAGGGCTATATTACATAAATAGATATATCTGTGGTATTAAAATTTCATGGTTGGGGGATTAGGAAAAAATATATAAAAAAGACATCGAAGGGGAGCAATAACATAAAAAAGGTTGAAAACACTACCCTGAGGGCAAGGAGTCCTCAGGATTTTAAGACGTATTGGATAGGACTCTGATGCATCAAATATAATATTTTCTTTTTTATGTTTTCAAAATCTGTATTTAAAGTGTATCTTCCCCCTCTTCTTATGTTTTAAATTTAGCCATGTTCAAATTCAACATAGTATATAAAACCCAATGTATGCAAGGCTTTTCTTGTGACAAAAAGTATATCTTGATAAACTTTTTCTTATAAGGTCAGTCTGTTTTATGTGGCAATCTGGCAGCAAGGCAGCAGAAGGACAGTCGTTGGCCACCAGAGGGACACACATTTCAATCTCTGATTTGCTTTAGATTGGCTTTGCAATTAGGGGCAAGTTGCTTAAAGCCCCTCAAGCCCCATTTCCTCATCTGTAAAACAAGCATACTATCATTTCACCGTACGGGGTTGTTAAAGGGTTTGAGATAACGGATGTCAGGTGGCCGGCACTCTCTGTTTCCGATTTAGGCAGCAAGGCAAGTAAACGATATCCAGATAGAAGAGAACAAGATGTCCTGTGGACCAATTTTGCCAAACTTCACAAATATCCCGTTTGAGTTCCTGCTGCTGCCCTTGAAAAAACAAAAAAACTTACATGCCAAATGGAGCCTCCACCCAGTTTAAATAAACCCAAACAGATTATCAGTAGGTTTCAGTGTATGAGCTGGGCTTTGCATCAGTGAAGAGACACCCGGACCATCAGAGATACCAGCAAGGAGCAGCGTTCTCCTGCTCCATCAAATCACCATGATTTATACCTTTAATGAAAAAGGAGCTTGGGCGGGCACACAGCTGTGGTTTTATAAGGAGAAAATAGGCCAGAATTCCTTGCGGTGGGGCTGTTGCTACAGGGGTCAGATCTGGATTATGGGTGGAGGCTGACATCATCCCACAGTGACACACACATGAATGGACATCAAATAACTTGAAATAACTTGCAACTGTTTTAGGTGAGAAAAGCTTAAGCAATACCAAACCAGATGAGTTCTGTTCGCATAAGAGCTTTGGCGTCTTTGATCTGAGGTTGAGCTGAGTGTCTAGAGTGTGAACAGAAGTAGGAACACGGTTATCTTGAAGCATGCGTGGTTCCTGGTTGCTCACCCAGCAGAGGGGAACAGTTCAGTGGTTGCCATGAATCAAGGGCTTTTTCCCCAGTGTTACAAATAACGGTGGGTAAATATTTTGGATTTATCAGCTTCCAAGTATTCTTCACATGTTTTGAGTTCAGCCAAACAGAATGCATCGTGCTGAGCACATTCATCCTTGATTTTTTTTAAGGACCATGTGTGATTTGTGGGAAATGGAATCCATATGTTTCTGCTTCATTTACACTTAAATCATCAAAAGGTTGTGTTGTAAGAGTTACAAGATGCCTTTAAGCTTGATTTTATTAAACATATAAGCCCCTTCGAGTTTTGGTCCCTTTAAAAGACAGAGGAGAGAGGCACCTAGAAGGCCTGTTTTGCCAAGTTGAAATACATGTGAACACTAGCAAGTTCAATTTAAGCTGAAACTACAAAGCAGTGGATTTCCAACGGGTCCAGAGCTGGGGAGAAAACAGAGGTTCCTCTGCAGCCAGTTTCAGAAGCAGCTCTGATGAGTGCAGAGAAAGAGCTGGCCACTGCTGGCAGGGAGGGGAGGGCTGTGAAGGCACCGTAGCTGTCCTGCAAACACAGGTGCTGGCTGCTGGAAGGGGTGTCGTCCTCAGGCGTCCTGAAAGCCGGCGCTCTGGTCCAGATAAAGAACTCTTTGTTTTGCCGTAATTTAGCACTGAAGCATCTGCTCCCCTGGTGCCTTCCCATGGTTGTCCTGTCTGTCCTAAGCCGGCATTTCCTATCTGTTATTTGGCCATCTAGCCCAATAGCCCGCCACTGGACTGAATACTGTGTGTGCAACTTGGTATGTTGTGCATTTATTGGGCAATTTCTTCAGAGAAGTAACTCCTTTAGCTCATAACAGGGCTGAGAAAGCATGCAGTTTGTGTAAACCCCTGGAATATGTTAACTAGGCACCCACAAGTTAGTAAAAAGTCAAATGTAAAACCAAGTTTTCTTGCACCTACTCAATATTTAGTCACCTTAGAGCATGCTTTCTCATTTATATATTGCATCTTAGAAAGGTTTCAGAAAAAAGCAACCAAATCAGAACTGTTTTATTTGCTAGTATCATGGAGTTACCTTCAAATCTCTGTAGAGGATTTATCTATTCATCTTTAGGGCATTATAGACTGTTAGGAGGTGGAACTTCATTATCTAGTAGGATCTTTAAACTGTGTGGTCTTAAGTCACTTGAATGAATTAACAATCCTCTAAATTATCTGTATGCCCCAGTTCTAGTATCTGTGAGTGAGGGACAGAGTTTTGGAATTTAAGAAGTTAAGGGTTTCCCCCCCCCCAACTCCTAACCCTAAGGGACATTTGTAAAACATTTCTTAATCTCATCCAGCGATTACTACTATTAACATTAAGGTGTATGTTCTTTGAGTTTAACACACCTGTACACATGTCACAGAGAGTTTGGTGAGACCACACTGTTTATTCTGTTTTGTAGCCTCACTTTTTAAAAATAAATCATGGCCTTTTCCCTGTGGTAAAGAACTGTTTTACTTCATGGGCTTTAATGCTTTCAGAATATTTCACTGTAGGGTTGAACCACAATTAGCTTAATGTCTCAAAGTATTTTTAAGTATGGGGTTTAAAAAATAATTGCAGATACATTTTAAAATGTTGACCTTAGTTTTTTCAAAATTCTTGCCATATCTAGGACACGTTGGAAAGTAAACTAACTAGAGCTTCTATGTCTTGTGTTTTCTTGCATTTTCGACTAAAGCCTAGACCATCCTTTAAGAACCATGGAGAATAACCATCTTCTTTTAGAAGAGCCCAACTCTCCTTTGTAGATAATAAAGACCTAGAAAAGATCAACAAGACAGTAAAGTTTGTTTCTTTTTCTTCCTTAGAAAAAAAAGTGATTCCTACCTCATTCCATTGCTAAAAAGAGCCTCGTGACTTAAATTTGTCCGCCTTCCCTTATTTGATGCCTAGTCCATTGGTAAAGTCACTGGGGTCACTTTCAAAGAAAGCCGAGGTCCATACCTATTTTGTTGTTGGTTTCTGAGTTCCTTCACCCCTTGTTTTGGATTTTTCCCACTGGTTACTAGAGAACTCAGTCTTGTCCCTTTTGTTGACAGGTTGCCAGGATACATCCAGGCAACAAAGGCTGGGGTTCCTGCTCCAGGAAGCCTCACATCCTCTCCAGACTCCTGCAAGAGGAGATGTGAGTTGTGGAGCTCTCAGCTCTTCAGCTCCTGTTTCCACCAGCCTCCTCCGTGAGGGGGCCAGCAGGCTATGACAGAGGCCAAAATAGGAAGATAACGAACCAGGGTTACCAGGTGAGTGAGGTACGCCCTTTCTCTTTTGTCTGATAGTTTATAGGTCTCAAATCTTACCTTTCAACTAATGATGGCTGCTTATTATAGGTAATCTGGATCTCTTCTACTTCCTTCTCACCAGTATGTAGTAAATATTTCCTTGCTATAGAAACAAAATCCAAAGAAAAAGTCATTAAGAAGAAAAACTCAAGTGCTGCTAAACAAAATAACAAATATCATCTTACTTCATTGGATAATGCTGGTGACAATGTGCACTATGTATTAAAGAGTCTAGTAGTCTAATAATCAATTTCCACTTGCAGGGATGATTTTAAAGATAATTTTCTTCAAAGAAAAGTAGATGCGAATTATTTTTAACATTAATCTGGAATTATGTGTTTATTATCAAATTATCATTGAAGGTAAAAGGAGTGATAAAGGCTATAGTTACTCAATTGACTTGGGAGTTTTTTTTATTAACTGAGATAAAATTTACATGGAGTGAAATGTTACTGATCTTAAGTTCTTAAACTCCTAAAATCAATGAGTTTGGTAAGTACATATAACCATTTGACCAATCACCTTAAGACATAGGACATTTCTATTGCATAAAAAGTTTTCCCATATCCCTTCCAGTCAATCATTCTTTGATAGACAGCCACTGTTCTGATTTCTGTCACCAGAGAGAAATTGTCATCATTCTTCATAATGTTCATGAACTTTATGAGAATAGCGTCATATAGTATATATTCTGGTCTGACTTATTTGGCTCAGCAGAATGTTTCTGAAATTCTTCCATGTTGCTGTGTGTATCGCTAGTTCAGTTCTACTTACAGCTGAGTATTGCATTATTTCACATTTGTTTAGCTATTCTATTGATTGGTATTCGATTTGTTTCCAGTTTGGGTATCCTATAACTAAGCTTGCTATAAACATTCTTGCCCAAGTGTTTTTGTGGACATACATTTTCGTTTATCTTGGTTTCAGACCTAAGATTGAAATTGATGCATGATAAGGTAAGATGTATGTTTAACTTTATAATGGGTATGAAATGATATGTCACCATGGTGTTAATTTACAGTTCCCTGATGACCAATGAAATTGAGCATTTTTACATGAACTTTTTGGGAATATGTGTCTCTCTTTTGTTAAGTGTTCACATTTTTGCCCATTTTGGATGCTTTTTTCTTTTTTGTATCATCTTTACTGCATCTATACATGCACCCATTTTCAGTACAATTTGATAAGTTTTGACAAATGATTACATCCACGTAACCACCAATAATATCAACATAAGAACGTATCTATTAACTTTTGTAGTCCATTCTCCACCCATCCATCTACCCAGCAAACAATCACTGATCTTATTACTGTTATTTACAGATGATTAACTTTGCCTGTTCTAGAGTTCCATATAAGGAATAATCCAGTATATACTCTTCTGTATCTGATTTCTTTTATTCAGCATAATATTTTAGAGAGTGGTACATGTTGTATGTATCAGCAGTTTCTTCATCTTTATTGTGGAGCAGCATCCTTGTGTATGAATATACCATAACTTATTTATCCACTAATCTGTTGATATGTATTTATCTTGTTTCCAGTGTTTCACTATTAAGAATAAAAGCTGCTATAAGCATTTGTATATGTCTTTCTGTGGACATGTTTTCGCTTCTCCTAGGTAATTACTTAGGGACAGAATGCTCATGTCATTGGGTAGGTGTAGGTTTACCTTTATGAGAAACTGCCAAATGATAATCCAGAGTAGTTGTAACATTTCACTAACCCCAGGCATGTATGGGAGTTCCAGTTTTTCCATATCTGCACTAACAGTTGGTATTAGCAATCTTTTTAGTTTTAGCTACTCTAATATGTGTATAGTGGTATCTCTGTGGTTTTAATTTGTATTTTTCTAATGACCAACAAATGATGATGTTGAATTGTATTTCATGAACTTATCGACTATTTATATTTTCTTCTGTGAATAATCTATTCAAAGTTTTGCCCATTTTGAAAAACAGAATTGCTTGTTATATGACATAGTATATGTATTCATATACATATTATAAATCCTTTCCAAATATATGTCTTGCAAACATTTCCTTCCAATGTATGCTTGCCTTTTAATTTTAATGGTGTTTTTTAAAGAGCAGAGGTATCTCATTTATTTGAAGAAAATTTTTTTTCTTAAGTCTTAAGTTTCATGCTCTTTGTGCTTTGTCTGAAAACCTGTGTAAATATCTGGGTCATAAAGACATTTTACTATGCTTTCTTCTAGAAACTTTATAGTTTTTATATTTATATATTTTATATAGTTTTATATTCAGTTCTGTGATCCGCCTTGAGTCCATTTTTATGTGTGATAAACATAGAGTTAATATACATTTTTCCTCTATACATATCCAAGGGAAATGATTATTTCACCATTTTAAAATAATGACTCCACTATTTGTTTAAAATATTCCTGCCTCCACTTAATTGTCTTTGCATTTTTATCAAAAATGAATTGACCGCATATGTGAACCAACGATATATTTCTGGACTCTGTTCTGCTTCATGAATCTAGTTATCTATCTTTATTGGCACCATTAATTTTTGATAAGCCAGCTCATCTTGGCTTATAAGTAATGAGGCAAATATTAAAAGCAAATACGCAAGTTGAGTCCTTCCATGACTACTTGCCAGTGGAACCATGCACAATAGTTTAAATTATGCTGGGCATTCTTCCTTGCATGTTGTCCAAATTTTTCCCTTGGCAGTAATTGGATTTTAAATGATTCTGTAATAAACAAATGCCAAAAGTATACAGTTATAAATTTATTCAAGTGATAATCCCAGTAAAAGAGATATATTTTTCAAACCCACTTGTACACAGTGTGATTTGAACTTAATTTATGTTCATTCATTTATTCATTCAATAATTTATGGAGTTTCTGCTACATTCCAGACACTATTCTAGACAAGGAAAGAGGGAAGGAGAATATTTCTTGTTTCATAATTTCTGCAAGGAAACTAGAATATCTATTCTAGTGCCTATTTAACAATGTATTTCTCACAATTACAGAGAAAAAATCAATATGTGGTAAAATAAGCATTAAATTAAATGTCTTCATGCATTCCTGCAAATTGACAGAAAATTATCAGCACTCAAATGTTTACTAAGGAAAAACATTTCCTCAGACTCTCCAAGTTTGCTAATTAAATATCCATTTCTTTTGAGACTGAGAATGTCAACTATCATTTCTGTCAGTTGCATTTTTTAGCTTGTTTTAAAATTTGAATCTTATATATTATTTCTAAGAGAAATTTGTTTGCAAACTGGACTTCAAGATAGCTGTTTCTTCTGTGTGTCTATATAATTTAAATGAATAGGTGAAATTACTTTAAATAATTTTTCCAAACTGATGAATGAAACATTTTCAAGACTATATGCAATTCTAAAAAAATTTCTAAATGAGGAACAATATGAACAATTCCAGAACAATTCCTTTCTGAGGGAGCCATAGTGTTTCCTGAGAGTCTTAGAAACCTAGAAGTATCTTCTACAAGTCACAGCATGCAAGAATGGCACTAGGTGTGAACTATACTTGGGGCAGCAGGAAAGGAGAATATCAAGCAGGCACGTTGTTAATATGTTAAAAGTGATGACAAGCGGCAAATAGAATATCCAGGGTGCAAGGCAGGCAAGCACCTTTTTCACAGAAGATTGTAAGAGAAGCCTGATGGAGTTCTATGCAAGAAAAACTTGGTAGGATTCTGTTTGCATTGAGTGCTATTTTATTTATCACATTGATTAATAATTGGATGTCAAAATAAAATGGAGTCTTGATTGTATGCTTTAATTCAGGGGTCATGAAAATTTTCCTATAAATACTCAAGTAGTAAATAATTTAGGCCTTGCAGGCCATATACTTTGTAGTTGTAGGTCAAGTCATCAAAGACAAACAAATACATGAAATGAATAAGCATGACTGTTCCAATAAAACCTTATTTACAAAAACAGATGGATAGTTGGCCAGACATAGCCAGTGAGCCATAGTTTGTTGACCCTTGTTTTAATCTTCAAGGAATTCTGGTGAGATATCTTCCAAAATCATAATAGACATTTGAAGACTTGTGGCCTTGAACCAGTTCTTCCTCTGAACACCCAGCACTTTGGGGCTCCCTTCAGATGAAATATGACTTCCAAGGAGAATTAAGCCTTGAAAGTCATCTGCACTCAATGTGGTCAGGAGAGAGAGTACATGAATAAACTCAGCTTAGGAAAGCCAAATTCTCTGATTCTCCTTCAACTTTCTACCTAATCAGGCAGCAGCCAGTGAGTCAAATAGGCAGTGCCTATGTAGCTCCATTCTTGCGGGGAGCTCCATGCCATTGATGCTGGTTGCTCACTAGTTGATAAGCAGTCTTTACCATGAGATACAGAGCTTGGTTCAGTACCTAGTCATTGGCTGGATTCTCATTTCTCTTGGCTTTGGCTGAGTTACACTCCTAAAGCTAGAATACAAATTCCTTGAGTTAGTATTGTAAGAAGGATTGAAGAAGAATTAGATGCACATGTATCTAAAAGGCTGTTAGCCCTTCCTTTCCAAAAGTCCTTTCATGTTTTTATTCTTCTGTTCAAATAATGAACTTGATTTCTGTTTAAAGTTTTAATATAAAATCAAGCTAATCTCACTCAGTTCATTTAGCATTCAATATATTTTGTTAGCACCTACAGTGTGCCTGGCATTGGGTTAGGTGCTGAGGGTAAAAGTATGTAGAGAGAAAAACAAGTCCCTAATGTCTTGGAGTCCACATCCAAGAGAGGGAGGCAAATCTTGCATATGTAAACAAATAAGACAAAAATATATTCAGCAAGTGCTGTGAAGAAAATCAAGAGTGATGTCACTGAACATAACTGTGAGGATGGTGGAGGCAGTTGTACCTGTGTGCATGCATATATGGTATGTATGCATGTGTATCTCTGTGGTATATATGTATATGTAGGCATATGTGTTCATGTGTATGCATATGTACAC